TCTCTCTCTCTCTCTCTCTCTCTCTCTCTCTCTCTCTCTCTCTCTTACGCACATATTAATGGAACTGGTGGATGTGCGCCGCCGCCGCCACCGCCACTGCTAACAAGTCGCTAGCATTCCCGCGATGCAACGTAACGAAGCGAATTTAGACGAAGGAAAATTCGCGGAGGATCGTCCGATCTCCTCCGTATCAATCGTTGATAATCTCGAAAATCGACTCTCTGCTCCTCTTCCATCGTTCACTTGCTTCGAATTAATTGTCCGTTTGCGCTCTTCGTCTTCTTCTGTTTCTTCATTAGATTCTTCTTGCCGATCTGTGAATTTCTAGTCTAGGTTTTCTCGTTATGACTCCAAGTTCACTTTGGTATTCGACTGTGTGGCTCTCCTCTTCGTCGGGAATCATCGATATCAGCGTTTTTCTTGACTTTTCTGCCGATTCGTTCGCGTTCGAGATTTTCTCGCTGAGAAATGTCTTATCGTGATCGACGACAAATTAGAACGTGCGTACTAATTTCCGCTTCGACGTCTGCCCGCGTGCGCCAAGTTACGCGCATCCCTTCGCGTGGCGAACTTCGCCTCGAACGTAGTGGTTAATCTCGCTGACGTACAATTTCAACGACGTCACGTGGCAGGGAGTGACGTTAAATTAAATCTGCGGATAAACACACGGTGCGCGCGCGTGCGAGGGTATATTCGGCGAGCCTGGGGATTCCTAACCGATGAATTTTTAACCGATGGATCCAATATTCTCGACATGTCGATACATTGATCACTTGTCGATGTTTCGCCGCGACTACAATTCTGTCACCGTGAACAAAAAAGAAGAGAAAAGAAATGGTTGTCGCATTATTATTCGTCCCGGAATCGCTCATCCTGTCATTTCTCTTCCCCCGGCGAATTTCGGTGTAATTTATATATTTTCGAGAAGGTGCGAGGTAGTAAAGTAACTACAATTTTCAACAGTGCTTATGGTGTTGTTCGCATACATCGGATACATCCGACAAAAATTCTTTCGTGATTTGTTCTCGCAGGTGAACCCTTCATCTCAGTAGATATCTAAAATTCGAACGAAATCGGGAAGAAGAACGAAACTTGAGAAGAAGAGCCCGAGACGAAATTAATTCCGTGGCTCGTCTGACTCGTCCTATTCCGAAATCGGAAGCGTGCCGCCCTCTCTTTCTCCCTCTCTCTCTCTCTCTCTCTCTCTCTCTCTCTCTCTCTCTCTCTCTCTCTCT